GTCTCCCTGGTCTCCAGCAGACCAGGGAGAGGAAGCAAAGCGGCGGAGCACGCGGGCAGCGGACAGCCCAGACGCGTCTGGGCTGTCCGCTGCCCGCGTGCTCCGCCGCTTTGCTTCCTCTCCCTGGTCTGCTGGAGACCAGGGAGACAGGCCCCATTCGTAACTGCGGATCCGACATAAGTCGGATCCGCGTAACCCGGGGCCTGCCTGTACTTATTTTGGAGGAATTGGTTAAAAGTTGTCCACCTGCTACAGTGATAGATACCTTCTTAAATGTGTAGAATAATGATAATCCCAATCTTACAGCTCCTTACTTGGTTAAATAGCTGTTACTCATGTGAGTTGTTCCATGGATTTTTGTATCTGTAAGATTTTTTGGAGTGGGCCCAATGACATTTAAAAACAGTGATGAAAAATTCTTGCAAGTTTCCTGTGGTTAGAAAACGGAATTGTAAAATCAGATTAAGCGACAGTTGAGCGTGGTTAAGCACTTGTTGCTGAGCGAAATTACTCCAAAACAAATCTTACATTACTAGGGGTTGAGTGAATACGCATGGTTTTCTGGAAGATTCACATAGCTCAGGGCTACTCAACTTTGGAAGACCCGGGGGCCACAATGATACTCATAATACATGCCAAGGGCTGCAACTTAAGTGAGGTTGCATATACGTGCAAATAGCTTCTCTCACACTGATGAGCATGAATACAAAGATTAAGGCAAGACCACACATCACACAGGCCCCATTTAATTCAGTTCTGCTGATATTAATAACATGCCATATTTACCGATTTCCACCCATATGACAGCATTTTTAAGGAACAATGACACTCCAGGAATGTAACTACTAAAACGCTTATCAACAGAAGACCATTATATTAACTACTTTTTTGTTTTGGCTCCCACCCACGGGCTGCATATTGAGCCCCGCGTAAGCCCAAACAGCACTGTGGGCTGCAGCCGCATGCTGAGTAGCCCTGACATAGCTGATATAATGCCCTGGACCAATTATTTCGTCAATATTTCCCTTTCAGAGAGACAGTTTGATTAAAGCTCTCATTTATGTGTGCAGTTTACAAGTGATAGATTGTTGACAATATATTTTGTTAGAAATTGCTGGGTTAATGTCTAGCTGAATTTGTAGTAGTAAACCAGATAACATTAAACTAACATGTTCCAAATGAGATGTTTTCCTGCAGTCATTTGGCACCTATCGCATATTCCAAATAATTTGGAGCCTTATTTTAAAAATACCGTAAAAATGGCACTTCTGGAGGGATAACTAGGAAACAGAAACTGATAGAAGGAAAAGAGAGAAGATAAGAGGAAAACTAGACCTTTAGAATTAACTGTGAAAAAGATTTGTGAAGAAGAGGGGTAGAGCTAGAAATTAGGGGTCAGGGAAGGGGAGCCCTCAAGTTTGCCAAAATTTATTCACAGCCTTCCAGAGAGTGGTGACTGGTTTGGAAAACTGTCTCAAGCAAGTGGATGAAACTACATCCACACCTGAAGTTGAGCTCGCTGAGGAGATTCCCTGCCTTCAATCACACAGAATAGTGATAGAAATGTAGCCGTGTTAGTCTGGCGTAGCTGAAACAAAATACAGGACAATGTAGCACTTTAAAGACTAACAAGATGGTTTATTAGATGATGAGCTTTCGTGGGCCAGAAAGCTCATCATCTAATAAACCATCTTGTTAGTCTTTAAAGTGCTACATAGTCCTGTATTTTGTTTCAATCACACACAAAGGCTGTGTCCAGACTCAGGGGTTTTTTCGGGAAAAGTAGCCTTTTCCCGAAAAAACTTCCCCTGCGTCCAGACTCAAGCCGCGTTCTTTCGAAATTATTTCGAAAGAACGCGGCTTTTCTTTCGATGGCGGTAAACCTCGTTTCACGAGGAAGAACGCCTTCTTTCGAAAGCACCTCGCTGGGTGCTCTCTTTCGAAAAAGCGGATTGCTCTTTCGAAAGATCCGCCTGCAGTCTAGACGCGATCTTTCGAAAGAGGCTCTTTCGAAAGATGCTTTCGAAAGAGCCTATTTCGAAAGAAGCCTGCAGTCTAGACATAGCCAAAGAGTGATTGTCTAGGAACATCGAGGGGTGCACACAGCTCTTTAAATCCTGCCCTCGTTACCTTATTATTTAGTGGCATTTTGCCCGTGCATCTGCTGGGCAGAGGCAGAGAGGGTGGGTTTCAAATCCTGCCGTCAGTGGCGCCTGCCCATGCAGAAATCTGTGCCATGCGCGTGGGCTGCAAAGTGGACGTGCTTTTGGAGGGAGTGGGGCATGCAAACCATGCTTTCAGCTGGAGCACTACAAAACTCGGAGCGGGGGAGGGGGGCGAACCCCGCACAATGCGAGTGCACCAGTGCAGCACGTGGGCCCACCCTCCCACGAGGCAGCGACAGCCAGCCGGTGGCGCGAGCTTCTCCTCCCTCCCCCCCGCAGTTCCTCCTCCAACAGTCGCCTCGCGTGCCCCAGCTTGCGCTTGCGCGGTCGCATACCCCCTCTCTCCAGCTTCTCCCTCCGCCCTGACGCGCCTCGGTGGGGCGCAGGCGCAGTGCCCTGGAGCTGTCAATTCCTCCACCCCAGTGTGGTGCGGTGCTGCTGTTGCTGGCTGCTCTGGCCATTTTGCTGAGTGGAGGGAGAAATGAGGCAGCCCGAGCTGCTGTGACCACAGCAGAGGAAGGGGGAGGGCGAGAGAGACCCAGATCCAGGAGCTGGGGGGGGGGGCAGGAAGGGGGGATTTTGTTGTGTGTGACGGGGGGAGGGCTGGTGGAATTTTTTTGTGGGGAGGGGGGAAAAAGAAGGGACAAGAGCAAGACCCCCCCACTGGCTGATTCCCCCCACTCTCCAGGGCCAGCCCCCCTCGCCCTCTCCTCTCCGGATCTGTTGGAACCATGAGCTGGGGGACAGAGCTGTGGGTAAGTGTGCAGGGCAGAGACGTGTTGCAGTGGGTGGGTGAGCGTGTGTGTGTGTGGGGTGGGGGAGTTATGGCTGAGGAGCACGGGGAGGATTATTATTTCCTCGCCCAGAGAGGAGGGTGGGTGTGACCCCTCTGCAGTGGGATAAAACCTGCAGAGAAAACGTTTACAAAGTCCCAGCGAGGAGGGTGGGTGTGACCCCTCTGCAGTGGTATAAAACCTGCAGAGAAAATGTTTACAAAGTTCCAGCCTTTTGCAAAGAAAGTATTCAAAAGGCAGCCCTGCTTCCCAGCCCCCCGTTGCAATGTATTGTCATAACGGTTTGCGAGCCCAGGATATACACAGTGGCTCTTGCACGGAGGCGTACGGCCACTGGAGCCGTCTCCGCGCAGCTGCCGCGAAAGGAGATTGAATAATATTTTGATAAACTTGCACCTTTTATGAAGTAGCCCGTGGCTTCTTAGTAAATGTCTGCAGCCTACTTGCACACTTGGGATCCGGACAGCAGTGAAAGAAACACTGAAACCTGAGTGTAGTGTAACGATAGGCATGGTTATTTTAACCCACAGACTATAATTAAAACAAAACCCGCTTAATAGACTTTTATAAAAGTCTCCAGTTTTTAAAGAATGTTGTGAGAAAGATGTACGGAAATAACGAATAGATTTACTTGAATTTATTTTTCTTCTTGTTGTTGAAAGTGATTGTAAAAAAACGAAACAAAAACAAAGAAGTGGAATTTTAAAGCAGAGAGAGGTTGACTTTTAAAACAGACTGGGATTTTTTCCTTTGTAAGGGCTGGGTGCTATGGTTCAGAGATGAATTTGTATACAAGCGGTCCAATTTCAGGAGAGGGAGTTTGTAAGGGAAGAAAAGCAGATAACATTTTCTTTTGCTGTTACTGTTCAATACTAGGTGGAGGGACAGTGTTTTTGATTGGAAAAGATTATGTGGGAAAAATATACATAAAAAAATAACAAAGAGCATTTTGATTGTATAGTTTACCTGATTGCATTTAAAGCGATCCTGGAAGGTGAGAAGGAAAAACGTATTTTGACTTGGGTTGAAAGATTAAGATAAAATGTAGGACTACTAAATGACCGTGAAAGGTAGAGTTTGATAATGTGATCTTTTAAATTGGTGCCTGCATGCAAATGTAAGGACAAGGGAAGGAATCCTAAGAAGTGAAAAGGAAAATCCATACACATCAAACACAAGAAGGACATAATGCAGCCATGTTTGGCAGCATGATGGTGGAGCATGGAGCAAAATGTAATAGTGGGTTTGGGATTGTGCACACGTGTAATGAGTTAATGATAGGGTATTAAAACTCTTTGGACAGAACTGTGCTTTGGGATGAGAAGGAAATAGGAAATTGAGATTTGGTTAGGGAAGTCTCAAATTAGTGGTAGAGGATTGTGTGGGTTGCAAGATGCTGCAGGTTTTCAGTCTTGCATGCAAATATTAAAAGATGCTAATCAGTGCAAGTAAATATGTAAACATAACTAGTACTATAAAGAGACCAGTTTAGTAGATTAGGTATTTTAGATGTGTTAATTATAATCCTTCATAGATACATTACAGGCCTGCTTTGCCATACAGGTGACTAAGCATCCAGTTTTGCTGTGATTTATTTATGTTCTAGTTAAACCTGATTTATGTCTAGACAGTAAATTATGAAGCAAATGCTTATTTTGAGGTTATTGTTTGTGAGCAAGGTAAATGTGGTATGTAATATTAAAATAATCACAGATGATGCTATATTGATTCATTATTATTTCAATAGCCCTACTTCATGGGAATATTTACAGGAAAAGTTTGCCTATTTTTTCTCTTAGTGCTGATGATGATTTAAGGGGAGGAAAAAGATTAAAATAATGGACATACACTGAATGACCTAGGATAACCTTTTTAAATGAAAAAATAAAACTCTGAAATGTCATATGTCAAATAACCTTAGTTTTACTTTTTGAAAAAATTAAATCTGTGAATTGTTTATCATGATGTTTTCTCAAGAGCAAGTGATCTGAGTAATTTTAGTTTATTTTCTAATAAAAAGCCCCACAATGTTACCTTTTGCATGTGTGCTATGCACATATGTCATACCTACTCTAAGATGCTGTAGTGAAAATTGCTTTAGATAGGTATACTGATAAATATGAATGGATTGTTACATTTTCCAGATAGCTATTTTCTTAAAATGAATCATATGAGAGAAATCTTTGCCTAATTGACTTCAATGGGCCTAAGATTTCTCCCTTCGTATCTTATATGTATTTTGAGACTCATGGCAGGTTACTGGCAATAGGATTGAGTATCTAAATTGCACAGAGATAATTTCAGAATGTAATGGACAGTAATTCAGAAGAATAGGAATTTATCAGAATTGGTTTACTTAAAATTTATTTAACAGAGCTTTAAAAAGTTATCAGTTTGTTGCTTCTAGATGTGTTGGCAAAAACACTTGGTTTCTATAGTGCATGCCACTGACGTTAGCTGATAAGTGGTATTATTTTTGAAAAAAATAATTGTATGTGAATGTTAAAGCATAATGTCTATTTTAAAGAAGTCAAGTGATACAAAAAATAGTAAATATGAAAAGTTTCTACAGCATTTTGTGTGTACTGGTGTCATGAATTGATGAATCAGAAGTGATGTGGGGGTGAATGTTTTCCTACAAAAGTTTAGCAACTTAAATCCATTGAAAAATTAGTATTGCCGTAGTTACATCTAAGTCTATCATGTATACTGACTTATCAGTATGGGCATATGTTCACTCTTGAAAGTTAACAAAGGAGAGGTGAAATATAGCCTGCCTTTTAGCTGCCACAGAATATTAGTCTATATGTTTATGTACAGTTTTTTCTTGTTCCTGCAAAGAATGCTGATGGCAAAGTACCATGCTTCAGAAGAAATTTTTAAATGTCATTGGTGACTTGAAGTAGTTATATTCTCAAGATACATTTTTAGTCGTGTGCATTATATGTATTATATATAGTGCACTTGCAATTGTGAGATTCTTATTGAGATTTTACTCAATCAAAACTCCCATTGACTTCAGTGTGAGTTTTTCCTGAGGATATGGTCTTGCTGAATTTAAATGTATGCTTAACTAGAAGAACTCATTACAACTACTAATGTGGCAATTCTGTTTAATATCAGGTTGGATGTTCAGGGTAATGAGATTGTTTGTGGCCCCCACTCTAGCAAGGAACACACAGAGGAAGACCCAGAATATCTCAGTAGAAGCCTGCTTGCACAGCGTTTCCGGTATGGAAGTATGCTACACAGCATAGCAGTAACTGCACGTTCTGCACTGTTCTTTGCAGGAGGTGTCTAACCCTAAACTTCATCTGCTTGCTACTGTCTGTGGAGTACTGAAATGCCCATCTTACAACTAGAGAGGGGATGGTATAGGTCAAAATAAAATCTGAGATACTCCATAACTCATAAGGCCATAGAGATTAATAGTTACTTCCCTGAACCCCAGTTCTCCCCCTCCATGCACTTCCCTGACCCAGGACCATGAGTAATTGTAGTTACTTCTGAGCTTCAGGAACTTGAGGAGTGGTTATCTCTCTAACTAGTCAGATTTCTGTGATATTTATAGTTCCTAATGTTAATAAGTATATGTTAGTCAATGTCCTATTTGAAATTCTCAGCATTGACTAAGTTGATGCGAGGCTTGGGAAAGATAATATAACCACAAACAAGTAATTCAGTACAGTCCTATTTCACAAAACTTTAGCTAACCAAACTTTTGGTATGTTCCTGGGTCTGTAAAAGATCTCATGGACTCATCATCAATATTTTATTACATTTAAGTGTTGTAAGTGGTATTTTAACTTGGGGAATACTAGAGCACTTTAGTAAGTCCTCTATTTTTTTTTTTTTTATTTCGGGCTTGGGCCCTTGTTTTGCCAAGTAAAATCAGATTGCTTGCTAATTAAACTAATCTCTGTATTCTAGTCTCTCTTGAATGGAAGGCACAATGGCCACAAAGTCAGTATATTGAAGGCAATGAAAAAAGAACAGCTGTTTTTGATGATAGAATATGTAGTTTGGTTGAATATTTGTAGTTTTGAGGTAGCCACATATAACTTGTGGTTAAGAAATGGTCTGTCCGATTGCTGTGGAGAACCCCGCTCTGGGTATATACCGTCAAGTATGTTACAAGTGCAGTGATTAGATGTGGAAAGATTCATTCATTGTAGTAATGAATCTTGACTATATGAGGAGTGGAGTTGTGGATTTGTGGTAATTTTATGCTGAATGTGAAAAATAGGTTAGCCAGTTGGTCGAAGTTTTTTTTTTTTTTTTTTCCCCCAAAGCTGTTCATGTAACATTTTCCTTTCCCTTTGGTTCATTCTAGTGGACTGGATGTTTGCTAGCAGCTACCCTTTCAACTGAACATTAAAGTAGAGAGGGCTTGATCCTGCAACTCTCAATCATGCAAATAGGGCCATTTACTGTTATGAGATTATTCACAAGTTAAGTTTGTAAGATTGTACATAATATTTGTAATCCCTAGGAACCCTTCACTATGACAGTTACTATATAAATGTAAGAGCATATTATTATTATATCGTTAACATGACTTTAAGGTACAAATAATGCCAAGACACAGGAAAGTGTTCAGAGAGCAGTTGTATTGACACTAATAATTAAATAATGAGTTTTTAGTTCTTAATATTTTATGGTTTACCATATAGTATGTTATAGTCATACATACATGTCCCATTCATTTAGACAAATGAAATACTGGTGTAACACTGAGGACTTGAAGATTACTTCCTAGCTGCAACTAATGCATCATTTCCTCTTTCATTATTGATGGCTCTGTTTTATCGACATCACTCACATTTTAAAATAAGTATTTAATATTGGTAGATATATAAAAACATCCAAACAGCATAGATTTACTTTAATATCTTTTTCATAAGTTATTTTTAGTGGGACTTACTGTGGGGTATTACAAATGGGATACCTTACACTCTGAA